CCCCCCCCCCCCCCCCCCCCCCTTCGGCGATGTCGTCCTCCTCCTCTGAACTTTCACCTAGACAAGCTACACTGTGCACCTCGGACAAGTCATAACAGAGGGTTTTTTGATTAACCACAGTCTCCTTCCCCACTCGTCTTCTCCTGATTCCGCCTCTGGCCGCCCGTCACAGCGACCGGCTCTTGTCTTTTCCCTCCGTTAGAGATCTCGCCCTACTTGTTTATCTACGTCATCCCCTCCCTCCCCCCCTCTCTCTCTATCTTCACCCGGGCTCCAAGGCCGCTATACTAGACTCCCCGTCTCAGTGACATGAATAACATATGACAATGATACAGGCCAACGTCACAGTATGAATGTGAATATACATGGATACATTTCGAATTATGGGTATGATTGATTTTACACAAATATACTTCAAGACACAAATACATTTTCCTCCCACATTCCCCCTTGAGTGACTCACGTCACTCATACGAGGACAAATGTTCGAACCTCCCGCTGGTCTTCAGCTCCGTGTACTTTACGCTTTTGTTTCTTCTATGTTTTCATTGGTCGGTTATCTAACATAATAAAGAGCTTATGCCTGCCTTTGTGGACCTGCTACTGTGCCAGGTTTGTCCGAATGTTTTCGCTGTAATATTTCACTGTATAGTTACTGAATTGGTTGACAAATAGTTAACGTACTAAATTGACTTTCTCTGGCTCTTTTAACTTCTCGCTGTGGTTCTGGACTCTTTTAGATTGGGTTTAGGTTGAAGCCATACAAGTTCAATCTAAAAGAACATGATCAATTACCCCAATGATTCCCCCCTTTGGCCATTCAAATATTTACAATTTCATCATGTTTTCATGATCTTGATATATAAAAGAGGTCAAATGTTCTAAAACATTTATACTAATTGTATTTAAGTGGTGTTCTTATCGCTTTGATGAGACACAGTTGAAGAAAGGGATTATAATCTGTTTGGGACAGTTACCTGGATCCTCTGTGGGCCTGAAGTCAGTGAGTCTGGTTCCACTCCATTCCTGGGCCTCGTACCAAGGACACGTGTGTGAACTCCCCCTTAAACAGCTCAGATTGTGTGGGAGACAGAGAAACAGAGACAGCAGCAGTATTTTCTCTCCAATAAATGTTCATTATACCATCATACATAACTTCTCTACTTCTCTCCCCTCTTGAAACAATACTTCCTCAAATCCTTCATCTAGTCCATCGAACATATGCGCGGTGCATTCTAGTGAATCAGCCTGCATGTGACATTCTGAACATTTTTACCTTTAATAGTTGATGTGACTTGTGGTAACTTTCTAAACCCTTCATTTTCATTCAACTACATCTGGTATGTGGGTGCGAGTGATGTTTGTATGGTTTCTAATGTGTGTGTTAAATGTACAAGTTTGTCATATCAGAATCTAAAGTTAACTCACCCTCTGTGTCCATCACTGGGGTCCGCCCCGCCACATGCTCCTCCCCTCCTCACGGCTGATGTTGAGCCCTCCCACCAGTCCTGTTTCCATGGAGATTGTGGGCAGTCTCTTAGACAATGTCCAAGTTGCCATAATTGATGGCACACAACGTTTTCAGCTGGTGTGTGTTTCTCAAAGTCTCTGCCCCTGAATTTTCCTCTTCCTGTTGTGGCCTGATTACATTGTCAGCTGGGCATCCTGGAGTTGTTCTCTGTCATTGTACTGCTCCTCAGCGTGCTCATCATGTTGCCTCCCACACGATGTTGTGTTCACAACTTGTTTCTGTTCCCCCCAAGTGGCCACAAATTGCAGTAATTGTTTGCCTGGGTAAAAATAATTCTGTTTTCTTTGTGTGTTTTCCAGCGAGTCCCCCTCCTGCGCTCCTCGGATGGATTTAAGGAGCTTGAGACTCTTTTCTGTCAAACTATGAGAGGCTTTGACATTGTCAAAATAGAGAGGATTCAGAACAAACCTCTTTGGGAGTTTTTTCAGTGGTACGTATGTGATTTAAAAGTGTCATCCGTCTGAGTGGTTGTGTGTTTAATATCTTCTCAGCTAGGTTGTCATTGGATCAGATAACCACCACACTGGTTGTTAAAGCAAGACCATGCAACTTTTATAAAGAACGAATAACACATTCACCCTCGTATATATAGCCACGTATTAGTATTTATTATTATCCTGTGGTTGCCACTTGTGGCCGCTGTTGAGCCAAAGTTACAGTTTCTCTCAATGTTAGCACTCATTCCTAAATGTATCAGCTTGATTTACAGTTTCTGATTTATTCTTCCTAAATATAGCCAGAAGAATCAGATGAAGAACAGCAACAATGGGCGCAATGTGACTGAAAAACAGCTTTTTCATGGCACTGACTCGAAATACCTAGATGTCATCTGCCACACCAACTTTGACTGGCGACTTTGTGGAGTTAATGGGACTGTTTTCGGCGAAGGTGAGTTGAAGAAAAATGAATTGTGGGCCACTTACTGATTTGAGAACAAAAGATGCGCAGTTATTGTGTTGAATTAAAAAGAAAGGATGGGACGGTTTCTTAGATTAAAGCTACGCATCTCACACAAATTTAAAGGGACAGTTCACCAAAACCAAATTATTATACTTATAATTATAATTACCTTATTGTTTACCTTTATCCGGTGTTTTAAGCTGTCCATCAGTGTTGTTCAGCTGACGCAATTAGTTTATTAATTGTTAAAGGGACAGTTCAGGTAGAGCCGTGGAGATGTCTGACTTCTCTCCAGTGTAATGGAACTCAGCTTGTGGTGCTCAAAGCGCCCCCAAAAAACTATTTGAAAAACTCAACAACAGTGTCTCTCTCCAGAAAACTCGAGTGCATCCACAGACCTTGTAGTGAGCAGGTCATTTGGGAAGTATATTCTTTCTAACGGACTACAGCCGCCAACCGTATCACCGCGCAGAAGTTGTACACATTAATGGCGTCCTCTTTGTCTGAGCTGTAAAGGTAGCTAGCTCAGTGGTGCTAGGTGAGCTAGCAGTGTAGATTCATGCCTCCTCCGGCGCAGTGATACGGTTAGCGCGTGTAGTTTGGTAGTAAATTGAATAGCTTTGGGTTTAGACAACTTGGGCGCTGGGAAATTATTCATGTGACAAAAAAAGCTTTTTCACTATTTTCTGACCAAACAAATATTTATTCAGGAAAGCAATTTGCAGATTAAGCAATAGTTAGAATAAACCCTTGTGTATTTTCACATACAGTATAATGGCAATACAATAGTCCATTTTTAATCTCCAAACACAGGTAGTTACTTTGCCCGGGACGCAAAATACTCACACAGCTACACCGGTGTCTCTGATGTCAAATCCATGTTCATCTCCCGGGTGCTGGTGGGATCCTACACCAAAGGGCACTCCAGCTACCGCCGACCTCCTTCCAAGGACGGCGGGGACATCAACTTCTTTGACAGCTGCGTAGACGACGTTATGGACCCTTCCATCTTTGTTGTGTTTGAGAAGCATCAGATCTACCCCGAGTACCTGCTGCAGTACAAGACCCCAGACCCACTTGTCTCCATGTACGGTGCTGCGGCAGTGCCGGCGCCAGTACCAGTACTGGCGCCAAAACCGGTACCGGCACCAAAACCGGCAAAACCGGCACCGAGACCAGCTCCCCAACCGACCTTGTCATTTTATCAACCGAGCACACCCTCGATCCGACCCAGCGCATCAGTTTCTCCACCTAGTACATCCTTATACAGACCCAGCGCATCAGTTTCTCCACCCAGTACATCCTCATACAGACCCAGCGCATCTGTTTCTCCACCCAGTCCACCCTCATACAGACCCAGCACAAGAGTTTCCCCACCCAGTACATCCTCATACAGACCCAGCACATCTGTTTCTCCACCCAGTACACCCTCATACAGACCCAGCACATCGTCTTACCGAACCACAGCCTCATACTACCAACCCAGCCCAAGATTTGCCCAACCACCGCCATCGCCATCTCCTCCACCTATCTCACCAAAACCAAAGAAAGCTGATACCTGTGCCATTGCTTAGGGACAATGGTGAAGTGGGGGCAGGCCTTTTTTTAATGGATAATGATAATTCAAGGAGCTTTATGGTGCTTGTACAAACTGCTTTGGGTAGTTTGGCAATGGTATCCATTAAAGAGTGCAATGAGGAGTAGAGTGGCAGTTGCATCACTTAAGAGTGCTCATTTATGTGGAAGAACATTCTAACTGTAGAATAATAATTCATCACTCGGATAAAAACAGTGGAGTAGAAAAAAACAACAACACAGAGAATTGGAAATATTCTGTTCACAGTAGCCGAGTTTCCATCCAAAGGTAACTCAACTTTTAAATTTGCAGAAAAAAACATCTGCAAAATGCGAACTCGTGCACATTCCCGCCCGATGCTGTTGTGCTGTTTTCCCAGTCGGGGGGGCCGTTAAAGCAATGCAGGAGAAGAGGCAGCAACAAGACCACACAATTGCGCCCCTGTCAAACCGAGATGAAAGCGTGATATAGAAATATGTCATTTCTGTTGGTTTCGTGCTTCATGTTTCTGTCTGCCGCTACGTGTAGTATCTCCACGTGCGTCTTATACATCGGGATTTATTCACAAAACGTGGGTCATTTCATTCATCAATACATCAACTCTCCCACTAAAGACTTTTTGGCAATATGTTGACTTTTTCTCTATTTCCGTCGTGTCACTCTGGTTTCTTTTTTTGGGCATAAAAACAGACGGATGGAAAAGCACTTATTGAGGTGTGGTTCACCTAAATATATGTGAAATTCATTTGAGAACGACAGAAATTTGCTCAGGTAATTGTATACATCACAATGACATTGAAATACTCATGGTTATTATATAGAATACATCCTATATATTAACGATCACAGACAAGGATGCTGCTGCACAGCTCCTCTACCAGTAGAGGACGACAAAATCCTTATCGGCGTCCTAAAATGAGCCATAACAGTAATAGCTTCATACAGATAAGGTTTTGTAGTGTGTATGTTTGAAGTTCAAGCACCGCTTGTATGGTTTTTTTTTTGTGTTGAGTGTGACTAAAAACTAAAGAAATCAGTGTTTTCCAAATTGTACTGATTGCAAAACAGATTTTGTGCATTTTAATCAATAAATAAATGTAATATTAACATGAACTGCACACAGAAGCAGCGTTTTATTTTCAGGTTTGCATCTTAAAGCTGCAGTTCTCTCTGTCTGTCTCATAAGTGAATTGAAAAGGCCACCAGCGTTGAGGGTTGAGCCTCTTAGTGAAATGAGGCAGGGCATGAAAAATGATCAATATGGCTGCTGGAGCTTTCCTGTGACATTAGACATTAGGCCTGGAAACCCCCACCCCCTCCCGTACACGCACACACACACACACACACACACCAGTATACTTACACTAGCAACCGCCTCCTCTTGGGTTTCCTGACAATCTGCAATGTGAATGTGAATATGTTTGCATGTTAAAATGAGATTACACTTATGCACCCTGACTTATTCACATCTACACCTTAGGGATGTTTTGATTCTTCATGAATTTGTTCTAAACTGGAGAGCATTTTTCTATTCAATGATTCTTATGGTATGCAGGCATTTTGCCAAATCACAAGACCATCAAACATTAGTCCAGATATACTTTGATCAGTGCAAATAAAGCAAGCACTACTGGATACTTGGGGGGTTGGTGGTGGAGGACTGTTTTTCCCAAGGTACCCGCTCTTTAAATGGTGAGCACTAATTAAGGACATTTATTCCCCTTTGGGTTGAAAACATACGGCCTTTTCTCCGTGCAGAAGAGACGGACAGCTCTAATGGTACAGTAGATTACGGAGAGACCATTCGAACGGATTTGCCTGACAATACCAGTGCATCCTTTATGCGTTTGCTGTCCATTAAGATGGAGCTGTTTTATGGGAAATGCAGCTGTGCCCCGTGGGATGCGACAGCCCACCCAGTGGCAGTAAACACCCCCTGACATTAACCAGCCTTCTTTCTGCCTCCGTCTGTCGTTCGTCGGTAGACAGATCAGATCCTCCAGAGCCAGCTGCGAGGGGCTTCCAGGCCTCAGCATATCGGGAGATCTGTTTTTCCTGCATTACAAGAGCTTATGAATTAAATATGACTCCTTTCCCTTGTTTGCGCGCACCCCTGCTGGTGTTTGAGGTGTTTATGTTTCTGCTGAGTCACGGCCGTTTTGTTCCAGCTGATGGAAGAGCGCTATAGCGGCATAAGCCCCGGGGGTGAGAGGAAGTGAGTCAGATCTTTATTTGGCTGATAGCAGGAGGGGTTTTTTGTTGAGTTTCTGAAATGTTTGTGGTGCTTTTCCATAACAGCTGCGGTCAGCAGATCTGCTGTATGGGCAGCCTCAATAGATAAATAACGCACCTGTTGATCAGCCGATTATTAAAGGTGAAAGGTATGGACATTGGGCTAAGGCAGGGAAAATGCTTTTCGGCACAAAACTGGAGCCAAATGAAACATTTTCTATTTTCTGTGATGTACGATCCCTTACTATCTAGGGGTGTGGGGTTTGTAAATGTCTTTTACAGACTCTGTGCTTTTTTTATTATGTCTTTTGGTGTCGGTCTGTCAGTCCACCACTTTGATCCGGGTTGCAGAGTCTCAGATTGGATGGATTGAAATGAGATCTTGCACAGACGTTCATGGTTCCCAGAGGATGCATCCTGGTAACTTTTAAGGTCCCTTGACTTTACCTCTTGTGCCACCATGAGGTTGACATTTCTGTTTGTTAGTCAAATGTCAACCATTGGATGAATTATCATGGAGTTTGGTTCAGACATTCATGTCCCCCTCAGGTTGTCTTGTAATATTTTCAGTGATCCCTCCCTTTCATTTAGTGACATCAGGTCTAATGTGTCCAATACTTTATATTTAATGTGTAGTTATGACTGAATATCTCAAAAAATGTGTTTAGTGCGAATTAGCAAATGTAGCATGCTAACATGCTAAATTACGGTTGAGATTGAACATGGTAAACATTAATCCTCCTAAACATCAACATGTTCGCATCGTTAATGCGAGCAGGCTCAAAGCATCGCTGCGTGTCTGTAGAGTCTTGGGCTGAGTCCGAAATAACTTGGTGGTTATACCGTGTGACTATGCCAAGCCCCCAGGAAGAAACGTAATATTACATATATAAAAAAGCCTTTTCCCATTGACTTACATTGGGAAAGAGACGTCTGTAACTCAGCGGTCATTTTGTTTTAGGTGATTTGAGGGAGTGATTTGGGGAGCAGATATCTTTTTTCCCTTTGTTGCTGCTGCACTTTCTTGTATTTCATTTTTCCTCTAGTTACTACAACTTCTTCTTTTACTATTGTATACTTATACTTCCTGTAATAGAATATGGCATATAATCAAAACTGTCTTTACTTGAGTTTCGGGAAGAAACAGGAAGCAACTGCGATAATGGGAAATGTGGTCTTAATGTAATGTGAAACGGAGACTATCCTCTGAGACTGCACCCTCAGCATAGTTTCTATTTTTGTGCAGATGTGTCCCGCTGTGATTAGATGACAACATTTGTGCTGCACTTTGGGGATGCAGTCTGCGTCTCTGTTTGTGTCTCAGATGCAACATCTGTTTCGTTGATTCAAGAGGGATCAGGGGCAATGACTGCATTCATGGCAGAGAGTTGGTTGTGTCATGAATTCATGCCGACACCAATCGAAGCTGAAGCAGAGAAACGGTGATTTGGGCTCAAATTCCTATAATTTGCCTGTAAATATCCAACTTAATGCTGATGAAAGATTCCAGTGCAGTGTCACAATAAATGTGGAATTAATGAGTTGCTATAGCAGCATCTGTGAATATGCCAGTTGCCCTCAGAGGGCTGGAAGCTGGACCATAGCTTCTCATTAAAGTGTAATTAGCTCCAACACAATCCCAGGATTTGTACATTCATCCACACAGCCAACCATGAATTAATTAAAACATTTCTTAATCCTGCTTTGTGTTTATAATCCTGTTGTGTAATGTGTTGACCGCAGACTGCAGTGTCGTAATTAGGCTCTGTAAGTTCTCATTATTATTATGAACTTCTGAAATAAAACCTATGATCCAATATTTGATCAAATTACCATTAATACATTGACTTTCGACCACACAGAGAATACCTATTCAGGCCAGCCGACTCCACAGCAAACAGACTGGAGCTACTCAGTGGCTTCACGGCTGCAGAGTGTGAGTTACAAGAGATTAATGATGCTGTTATTACACTCTGTTACATCAGTGACAGCTGTGGTTCGGCATGTTCTTCTGTGCCTGAGTGCCGTCATGAAATATTTACCTCTGCTGATATCAGCACGAGAGATATCGCCATCATTGAACTTTCCAGTTATGTTTTCTTCATTAACTATCTTGTTGTAATTTAACATGTTAGAGGACAATGCACCCTTTAAAGCATTATTAATTGATTTATTGGGAGGGGGCATTGATGTTCGTTATAGCTAACGGGTTAGCAAACAGTGACCTATTTACACATCCAGCGGACACGGAGCAGCATTAGCATTTATTTGGAGTCATGTTTCTGGCCACCAGATGAATGTAAGTCAATGTTCACTCTCCTGTTTTGGTCCAACTGGCCTTTTTGTGCTGGGCAGGTAGGTATGGCGGTTTTGAGCACAAAACCACGGAAGCCCTAAATGAAAATGATTTAAATTCCACTTTTTTATGCCATTATCTCGAGATCCCAATCTAATTATGTCAAAAACTTGTTTTATTGAGATAACAACATAAAGCAAAAGTTCGGCGTTGAATGCATTCAAACGGCCCGGATCGTGCTGACAGTGAAGGACTTGGTGAAAGTGAGCACAAGGGTGCATGTTTGACTTAGTCAGGTTTTCAAAATATGGTGTTAATGAGGGCACATACAAAATACATATCTGAAAATATGACACACAAGAAATATAAAACATGTTAACAAGAGTATATACAAAAGACACATAATTAAATTACATGGATTATATTCACTAGAAATATAAAATGTGTTACAGGGCTTTCGTACAAAACAGCTGCATGAGATTTGAGCTAATTATGAATAACGGAAAGCAGAATAGCATGTTGTTTTACAATTTCCACCTGCACCAAATTTGATATTTTGCTAATCTATTTACTTAAGAAATTGTCTGAAAGCTCCAATTAAACAGTATTTTGTGAGTTTTTGTCCACTTTGACATTGACAAAAAATTGCCCTATGAAGTCAATATGGCTAATGCATTAGCAAACAGCGGTTATTTACATATTTAGCAAAGAAAGAGCAACATTTTCATCAATCTGGAGTTGATTTTAGCCTGTTTACTGCAAAATCCTGCAAAAATAACTGTCTCTTTAGCTGTCAAATGCTCCATGTTGGCTCAGCAGAGGATGTACTTTCTGAGGCAGCTGAAGAAATTCAACCTGCCAAAGACAATGATGGTGCACTTCTACACAGCCATCATTGAGTCCATCCTCTACTCCTCCATCACGGTCTGGTACGCTGCAGCCACCGCCAAGGACAAGGGCAGACTGCAGCGCATCATTCGCTCTGCCGAGAGGGTGATTAGCTGCAATCTGCCGTCCCTCCAGGACTTGTTCGCTTCAAAGACCCTGAAGCGAGCAAGAAAGATTATAGCCGACCCCTCTCACTCTGGACACAAACTGTTCATGCCCCTTCCATCTGGCAGGAGGCTGCGGTCCATCAGGACCAAGACCTCACGCCACATGAACAGTTTTTTCCCGTCTTCAGTCGGGCTCATCAACAAAGCCCGGGACCCCCACTGACTCTGACATCCCCAGGACAATTTCTTACCGGTCACTCCCCTGCACATCCCTTCCCTGTTTCTTATTTAAATACACTTGACACTTTTACACTACACTTACTGTACATCTCACTTGTTGATAGTCCTGTTATCTTTTCGTTTGTGCACTTTATTTTTTATTTCACTTTATTTTATATTTTACTGTCAATTTTAATATGTTTTTACTGTGTTGATTGTTGTTGATTGGTTATTGTTATGCACCACCCGCCCTGACAAATTCCTTGTATGTGCAACATACTGTGGCAGTAAATGGTTCTGATTATGATGTTCATTAGCAAGTTGCTAACTTTATCCATTAGCTGTTTATTGGGAGGAGAGTGTACAGTGGGTGTATCAGCCCCTTCGCTGACCTCAGCTTTACTTCCATTATGGTCTAAATGAAAAAAAATACCACAGTCTATAATCAAAAAACTACATTCTTTATATAATTTTTTGTGCAAATGATTTGAAAAAAAAAGAAAATCAGAAATGTATGATACATTTCAGTGGGATTTTGAAAATAAAACAACAAAACAGGAATGTTTAAAATATATGAAATACTATTTCATTATTTTTATGAGTCATGCTTCACAATGTATTCCTTTACTGACGGATGCTGAGTTTCATGCACCGACTGCGGTAATGAAAGCATTACAGACTACACCCCTCACATTCCCAGCATGCATTGTGGAGCGAGAGAGAGAGAAAAAGAAAAAGCGAGAGAGAGAGAGAGAGAGAGAGAGAGAGAGAGTGGGGGGAATTTGTTGGGAGGCTGAGGAGGACCGTGGACCTGAGCGTAGAAGAAGAAGGAGCATCATTAATAGAAGAAGAAGAAGAAGAAGAAGAGGAAGGGTCATTATTCGATACTTGCTGACAACCGCTCAGGTAAATCATTTATATTATATATATTCCTACCATCCTTCCTACGTTTGTTATTTCCAACATTTGTCTGCCGGTGTGTGTGTTTCGTGCTGCGGGCTGTGCTCTGAGGAGAAATCAGCTGCTTCCCACAGTGAAGCTCATCTTTTATCAGTATTATTCCTCGGATAAAATGGACCTGTGAGCGCAGCGTTCTGCCGAGTCAGACCGGTGTGAGTTGTTTGGCAGCTCGGTGATGTACTATACAGTAGGTTTGTGCAGGGATTCCCTCAGCCATGTCTCTGCAGCCTGCAGTCGCTCCTCCGATGAGCAGTTCATTAAAAGGGTGGGGGGGGGGGTATCCATTTCATGATTGTGACCGTGGAATACAAAGGAGAGACGGCGGGTTATGAAGTCACAATAATAGACACTGACCATCCTGCCTAGAGATGAGAAACTGATGCAGTAAAGCCAATTTCTGGCGCTAATTAGGCGGCTATTTATCTCTGAACTTGCAATAATGGCCAGTTTTTCACCCATATTTTACGAGTTTGGCCATTAAGTGACCGACCCATGTTAAATATCCTGTCGATATAAAAGAAATGCTATGGTCACAATATGAACACAACTGTGAATTATCGTTGCCCTTTTGTTTGATGAGTTGAACATTAGCAAGCAGTTGCTTATTTAACACATCTGGTGGATATGGAGCCACGTGTTTCTGGCCACCTGCCGAATATAAGTCCAACATTCACTCTCTTTTCTGCTCTCCCTTGGTGTTCACCAACTCTTGGGGGGAGAAGTCTGCCTTTTTAGTGGTGTTATGGTGTTGACTGCTCCACAATGTTCACTATTAGTTCCTAACTAGCAGGTGTGCTGTGGTTTTATTAGCTTTTTTAGGACAAAGCCGCTAACGTTACCTGAGCTCTTGCTAACGCTAAGCTTTTTGTTATTTACCGACACCTGAGAGAAATAGCTATTATTGTATTTGCTAAATGCTCTACTATGTCTACAAGCTAATTGCTAAGTGGTATGCAGATAACGTTAGCAGACATGGAGTTTTTAGAGTTTTTTTGTTGCCAAAAACGGATGCCTGCTGCAGCTGCAAGCTATGCTAACGTTAGCAGTAAGGGGGAAACACAACCTTTAAATTGAGCGCGGGAAAAGCAGAACAATGATTTTAAAGACACTTACTACTTACTACGAGTGACTTCTTTCATATACAAGTGGTCGTTAACATTGATAAAAAAATACAAATTTTAACCACCATATATTTACAAGAAGTGGATACAATTGCCACTCAAAGACCCTTAAAACCTAAACAACTATCTGTGGGTGATGTGGACGCTACCTCCATACACAAAAGATGCTGTTACAGCGCAGCTCAGCCTTTAACATCGATGACAATGACGCCATAGTGAAAAATAAACACAATTAAATATTAATCAGGCATTCAGGAGATGGGCACAAGTCTTTCCTCCATAACGAGTGATCTATTTTGTCTCCAGAAGCATGCCCTCAGCATGAAAGGCAGGTTACAGCCACTAATGATCCCTTTTATTCTGGTGACCTTCTTGTCCTTATCAGCTGGTTCGGTGCTTCTCTGTGCACCAGACCTCATAGAGAAAAAGTGCCCAGTTTGTGATGGGAGGAGACTTAGAGGTAGAAACAAGTTGTAGTGATGTGGGGGCTGGTTTGTTGTGAATGGAGCTTTGAATCAATATGCTGCTGATGCTGTTGATATGGAAATGATTCATCAGCAGCCTGTTAGTCATAGCCTAGATATGAATGGATTGGATGGTCCGTTGTATTAAGTAGGGCTGTAGCTTTGCTTTTGAAGTGCCGAAAGGCAATATTTTGTGGTTCAGTATCTTTAAGAATTCTTGCATTTTTGCATGAAAATGACGAAATATATGTTGTCCCACTGATGCCTGGCTCAACCGCTGAATAACGCGCGGGTCTTTACCGAGCTGAGATAAGTTGTCTCTTTTAACCTGAAGGTTTCTTGAGATTGTGTTGAGTGAACCTGTCTAATCACTGGATTAGTCCAGCATGCATCGGGAGAAAGAAAGGTCCGTTGGCTCTGCCTCCCACCCGGCCGTCTCACTGTCTTTGTGTGGATGTGGCGTCTGCAGTGAGGTCACTGCGCGGTGACTCGGCTGTGACTCCTCGCCTCACCCAGCTCGTCGCCGCTGCTTCCGCAGACACTCTCGCATCGAGCCGAGACCGGTTGTGTCGCCGAGCACACTCTGTCACTGCAGTCGCCGAGGTTCACAGGACTTTCTCATTCCTGCTGGGCAGTTCTGCAAGTGCAGAAAGCGGCACGATTCTCAGATAAAGGTGTCAAGCTCCATATTTTTTAATTAAGAGTGGCTCTGTGTGTGGTTAAGTGTTCTTGTCAAAACTCATGTCCCCGTTTTCTTATTACGTCTTGTCTGGTTACACTTGAAAATGTAACGTCTTTACAAAATAGAGTCGGTGTACTGAAAGCGTTTCACGGCACTGCAATCAACAGCCGATGCCTTAACAGTGTCTTCACAAGCTGCCATCTGACAAGTTTTGCATTGGCTGATTAAAATAAGCAGCAGGCCCCCCACACAACCTCCCACAACAACTTAACACCGTCTTCTCTGTAGACGTCTTGCTACATCAGAGGCGGCAGCATTAAGTATCGTGGCTTTAAATTCATGCCATTAAAGGAGTTTAAGATATGCATTCTATGGATGTTTCTCTCTCAGGTCATATTTGTGGAAAAGATGCAGCGAAGGTTTCTTTGTGTTATTGCTTTCCTGACCATTGAGCAGTTGCGGTGAGTTAATCGGCCTCAGATAGCTGCCCACCCTTAAATAAGTTAATCAGGCTGTGATTCGGTGATTAGTTTTAGAGCATCATGATACTCACACAATTGTGAGGAATGACTGAAAGGACTAGTTTTGGAAGAAACTGAATATTACTGTTTTCCTTGAAATGTAAAAGATAGAATGATATTTGTTTTTCATGTTGGTGGTCTAGAATTGAAGTTTATTCCAATACTGCATACATATGTTAAGTTAATTAGCCTCATGTAGTGGCATACATTAAATATAATTGAGTCAAAATGTGTAAATAATGCTTATATTACAGGTTTGATATGGATCCATAAGTGATAAGTTCAAGACTGGAGCCTTAAAGTGGCAATAAACAACTTGTCACTGTTCACCATCTTAGTTTAGCGTGTTAGTGTGCTAACATTTGCTAATTATGTGATATTTATTTTTAGCCAATAAACCAAAGCATTGGATAGAGATTTCAATTTGATGAAGGCGCTATATAAATAGTCTGTCAGTCACCAAAGTTATAATAATTTATCCTGAGGGGGACTTGAATGTCTGTGCCAAATTTCACATCACCAAAGTCAGGAGGATTCATCCCTCTGGGGACCATGAATGTACATGGTAATCCATTTGAAGAGTGTAAAGTAGTTACTAGTTGAGATATTTAGGTCTGCACCAAAGTGGTGGACTAACTGACCGACAGACTGACATCTCCGTCCCTAGAGTGTGGACAAAGTACAAGAAAAGTATCTGAAAAATGTGTACCATTTGGCTCATTGTCATATTTAGAGAAATACGCTTACCGTCAGTCAATAACAATAAAGTCAAAATAACAAACTGTAATCTGAAATGCTGTAAATAAGAGTCATACTGAAGTTAAGAAAGGCAAGAAGAAAGCCTCGCAGTCTCCTTTTTAACTGAAACATAACTCATAAGCCCAACGAAGGCGGAAGCATCGGACGGAAACAAAAACATAACCATGATTCCATTATTCTCAGAGCCTGGAGCCAGGATGGACTTACACAATAGGTCAACGAAATAAATTCAAAAGGCTCTAAAGAGAATATCATTGGATTTCATGTGTGCTTATCATATTTAGATATTTTTTAGATATAGTTTTCTGTGGAGATGTTGGGCTAGTTGGATGTATATGAATGTGCATAATAGCAGACCAGTGCATTGGTCAAGGGGACATTTTGACCTGCTGGTGGCGCTAGAGGAAAGTACAGGAAATCACCAAAATCTATAGGTGTCATCCTCTGAGGACCATGAATATATTTATGTCGAAAGACATCAAGATATCTTGCTCTGGACCTGTAAGTGTTGGACATACGGACAGACATGTGGAGGGACTGACCAACATTGATGAATAAATCTAAAATACTAGCTACAGTACCCATGGCAACAGCTCTGACTCCGAGGAATGTTTACCGAAAAACTCCAGGTGGTAACTGTCATTACCATCCTCCTGGCAGCGAGTGCCACACGGTTATTTATATTCCCACCCCAGAGTGCCTTGGGGCAGATACATCCCGGCCCATCAGTTGGTCTCTCTGCTCTCCCCCAATCTATTTAATTTCCTTCTCCTCACTTTGAGTGGAGCCTCTGCGCTAACTAACGGGTTATACCCCCCCAGCTCAGACTGTCATGAATAATAAAGCCACTGCTGGACATCATGAAATGATAAACACATCAAAGTTAATGGTATTAAACTGTACAAACACAATGTGAGATGAGGGAATTAGTGAGTATAATTTCTTTATAGATTAATTAACAGTATTTTCTTGATTTATCATTTAATGGTTTTATCAATAGGATATAAAAAACTGCCCATCGCTATATCCCAGACCCTAATTTGAATTGATTGTTTTTATGCGTCCAACGATCCAATACCCCGAAGATTTTCCGTTCACTATCGAAGAAGACTAAGAAATATTCATGTTTTAGATCTTCACATCTTTCATTCAAAAGCCACCCTCGAGTACGCCTCGTACTGCTTGTCCCTAACACATTTGTCAACAACTCTAACAGGCTTTGGTGTGTAACTTCACAGGACAGCCATCAGAATACGTGATAGATTCAGCAGATGATCAGGATGCAAAAAAAATTGAGACCAGCAGGAAGGAACTGCCATCTCCGTTAAGCTGTGTCTTCATCAATTACAAGATTTGTAAATGTAGAATCAGTACCACACACTTTACTCCAGCAGGGGTCCCAGGGTCTTCTGTGGCATCCTCCTCGTGGTTTCCTCCCAGTGTGGACACTGCAGAGAGCACTGAGAGGCAGAGGGCATCACTCGTCCTCAGGCAGGGAAAGCGGGGGGAATGTCACAGCGGTGTAAAGATAGTGATTTTCAGCAGACGGCTCCTTTTCCGTCCGACGAGATCAAGTCGCTACAAAGAGGCGCGAGCTGGCAATCAGTGGCCCCCGGGACTGTAATTGCCGCCGCTTGGTTGTTCGCCTTTATTCTGTCTGTTTTCCCAGCAATTTCCTATAATTTGACTGGAGCCCTGCTGGTTTGCGTGGTGGTTGACACACACGTGCATGGTCCCCAGGGGGAAGCCCCTCCACTCCGTGGTGGGACAGGCTGTTCAGCCCGGCTGCTGGAGGGCGGTTTACATCTTCACAGTTTTGGTGTTATTCCTCGTGACAACAAGCGTCTTCTCCGCTGAAATTCCCTGAGGAAAAAACACTGAATCCCCAAACTCAAGTATTAAAGGATTAGTCAAATTTTATACTCTTTTATTACTGTCAACAAATGCCTTGTGGATTCCAAACCAGCAATGAATTTACATTGAATAACGCATCAATGAGCCTCATCATTGCACTGGGCCACATATTAGGTCGTTGCCATTAACGTGCTCGGTCAATGTTGACGTAATCATAGAGCCCCAAATGTGTACTAATCTAGGGCGGATAATATATTGATCATTTATTGTTTTTCAATGGAATAGTATCGTGATGAAATAATATATTTTAATACATTTTAATAAATTTAAATTAAAAAATTAAATAAAAAATAGAAAAATTAATATATCGAGATTGTGATATACAATTAATAACAAGCACAAAATAACTGTATTTGTCAAGTATTTAATTCAAAATGTAGTATTTTCACAAGGACTATTTATTTATTGAAATACCAGAAAATATATATATTTATTGAGATATGAAATGACCTATATCGTCTTTATTAATCTACAGCTGAAAATAGTTTCCAAAAAATGCAATGTTTGCTGCTGTTTGAGTGGCGTTTGTTGAAAACTAGTCCAGTTTCTTGAGGAAAATGACTGAGAACGGTCAGTCGGTCAGTATACATCTGTTTTAAAGCTGCACTAATCAATATGTATGTATTAGCAATTTAAAGTTAAAGAGTTGTATAACTTTATGTGATGTTTAAAGGCTCATTCGTAGTGACGACACCTCTGATTTACTTCCTTTAGCTCTATGGAGCGTTTTAGAGTTGGTTTCATGCCCCGCAACATTAATGTATCCAGTTAACGTTGCCGGTTAATGGGGAACACATTGCTGCAACTAATTCAGTCTGAGAGAAAATAGACTTCCCCCCCTTTGGGAATCAGTGCAGTACTGGAAACATTATTCCACTGCTGGCTACAACAGCAATGATCAGGAGATAGTCCTGCCCACAGATGCTCCGGCAGAAGCTACAACTTTCAAGACTTCCTGATGGCGATCGTCAGACTCCATTAACTTGTCAAGACGAAACATTTGCCCCGCTTCCTGTTCCTCCTGCTGAGGGCTTATTAGACCCTCCTCCCCCCTTTTAACTAGGAAGAACGCCGCTGCAAACACCGGGCGCATCCGCCTGAGACGTGACGCCTCAATAAGAAATGCACTTTCATCCCAGCCGAGCTCCCTTTACTATGAGAGCGCCCTAGTTTAAATAAGGTTTAAGGGTTTCTCTTCCCCTCCGCTGGCTTGCTTTGCTTCGTTGCAGTTTGATAGCTAATCTGTTCGAATGTGTCTTCTCCTCCACGCTGCGTTACATAACTGTTTCCTCTCTCCCATAAGGGCTCTCTCTGCTTCACAAAGACGTGAGCTGTGAAATCACTGCTTCCAACTTTGCACCATCGCCGCCGCGTCGCTGAATTATTTGCCCGCGGTTTGTGATAATAGTCTGATCAGCTTCTGTTTTTGCACCTTCCTGAGCTTGACATTTATCTTGCAGACTCTTCACCTCAGATCTGACGTTCGCTAATTAGTGTGAACTTCAGAAAGCAGAGAAGCAACACGTGTTTAACAAGTTCCATCTGAACCAAGTGTCTGTGTGTGTGTGTGTGTGTGTGTGTGTGTGTGTGTGTGTGTGTGTGTGCGAGAGACAAACTCTGTGTGCAAAAAGTGTGTATGGCACTGTACTTTTTAATAACACGAGACAACTTCACTGCTAATTTCTTCTCACCAACAGCTACTCTGCCCTGAGCGTCGTCACTCGCTACATACACAACATTACGTAGTGTGTAAATATGTGGATTTAACTTAAACCTCACTGTGGCCCCACTGTGTGGGGGGGGGGGTGGTATGGCCCCTTGGACCCCGCGCTTGCCACCTTCAGTGGAGATGGCCTCAATGGATTCAAACAACATTTATCTGCAACTTTGTTCCTGTTTACACTAAGTTACATAATGTGTTAGAAACACTGATTGTGAACAGGTCCTTTGCCCCCACCCCCCCCTTGTGCAGGATTTCCAGCATTCTTCCCCCTAACTTGCTCTGGCCTGACGGACCCACCAGCCTACCACCATGAACTACCTCCGCCGGCGCCTGTCAGACAGCAGCTTCGTGGCCAACCTGCCCAACGGCTACATGATGGACCTGCAGAGGCCGACCCCTCCGGACTCGTCCACCTCCTCCCCCGCCTCCCCGGCCACAGAGAGGCGGCAGCCCCCGAGCATCCCGCCCCCGGCCTCCAACCCAGCCCCAGCCCCAGGCTCTGGCTCCGGCTCGGCTCCGGGCGCGGGGGGCTTCCTCAGCTCCTTCTCCAGCGTGGTGAAGAGCGCTCAGATGGCCCAGAACGTCGCTGCCGCTGCACACGCCAAGTCAGCGGCGACGGCGGGGGAAGGAGCCTCGGCAGGAAGCGGTCAGCCGCCTAAACTTGTCGTACGCAAGCCCAAGATCCTGCTGGTCATCGACGATCAGCACACAGACTGGTGAGTGCACGTCTCCATCGCCTGTGTGTGTGTGTGTGTGTGTGTGCGCGCTTGGGTTGTTTAACAAAAAAAAAAGTGTTTTTTTCACATTTTTCCTGCATGTTTTTGGAGTTCCGCTTATGTCTAGAAGAGAAATAATTACATTTTCGTGATGAATTTATCTCAAACCAGTTCCTAGTTAACAGATAACGAGCTGAACCGTGACTTATTATTTTTTTTTTGCGTGTCCTCGTTTTGACTCGATTTCAAAGACCAATGAGCATCTTAGCTCACTCGCTATCTTTACTGAATTGGATGTAACGTCACTACGACTGAAGCAGAGCAGTATCTGAAGAATAGAAGATGGCAGCTTGACCTTTTGTTTTCAGAAGGTTCGTATATTTAAACCGATCAAGTGGCATCCTGTGCCCCGAGGCTGTTCTTTAGCTCGACCTGTGTGGAATCTCAACATGTGGATTTTCACAAGTAACTCAAAGAAAGCACGTAAGGTAACTTATCGGTGTCGGTAGGCTTGTTGCTCATCATCATCTGTTGGCATATGAGGACCTATTGTGGCTGAGCGCTGACATGTTCACTTTTCACACTATGTACTTCACATACCTTTTAGTTTTGTAGCTCCCGCTGAATCAAAAGCCTTTCTTGTGGTTTTGAAAGAAGTGCGACATCTTATTGTTCCTGACGGACCCGTATGTCTTTGGCTTCTGTACGCTTACGCCATGGCTGTCATGGTAACGAGAGGGAGGTGCTTTTCCTCTGAAGATAATTTAAATTAACTTTAATGGGAAGAAATAGGTTCATCTTTCAGCAGCAACACATACGTACGTGCACAGGAATTGATTTCCAGAGCGGCAGTGAAGACGTGCAGTAGTATATCATGTTTGTCCCACCCGATCGATAAACCGCTCTTCCTCTTCATGAATTGTTATTCTGTCGGCTGATGTTTGGTGGTAAATCAACCCCCAGTGAAGCCGTTATTAGTCATTTCCAGCCCCTGTTTGAATTTATCCGCACAATTAGCCGGCACCATTATGTACCGAAGCATCTGAGGCTCTGCTGGGAAATCGCGCCGGGGTCTTAAAAAAGATGAATTAAAAGCGCCCCGATGACAGCCGTGTCAAAAGCACCGGGATGGCTCTCGATATTCTGCAAAGGCACGCGGCCTCTTTTCTGTAATCCCGCTGGCTGAAATCCCCAAAAGGGCCCGATCGTCCTCACATCCCCGTGTTTGTGAAAGGAGTCCACAACAGATGATCGTCCGGGCTCATTCTGACTCTCTGAGGGAACCTTCCTCACTCTAGAGAGAACAGCAGCGGGTTTTATCCACTGAAACAGCTCCTTGTATAGAGAGGGAATAGCGGAGGCTTTGATAGGTGGTTGGCTGCTTTTTCACCACCAAAAAGAAAGTCGAAGGACTCGTACGGGGTTGGTTGACACAGCGACACCTGTTTGATATCATGCAATCCACTGCAGCAGCCCTGCTGGTCATTTGTAAGGCCACAGCTTGTGGTAATGTATTGGATTGCATTCTTTCCAAGTTGTGGCAGAGACTCTGCCTTCTGCACAATATGCTGTGTGATTTGGTGTTTCTTTATTTTACATTCATGCATTTTCTTATTCCTTTTTGGTTGATTTGGGAGACTTCAGTTTGCCAGAGACAGTCAGCTACTATGAATCAAGCTCCTAAAAATGCTAGATCCTACATTTCCCAAGATGCAACTGCACTCTCCAGAGGCACAGAACGATGAACAGTACGCTTCATGACAAGTAAACTGAGCTTTATCTGTAAAATGGTTGAAGTGCCCCTTTAAACCCAGAAGCAGTTCAAGTTGTTGCGTAGTGTTTGTGTTCTTGTTGTTCCTCTAAAGAACACTACTGTGGCTGGATTAACCCCCCATATCTCTCTCAACATTTTTAACATCAGTATTTAATGTTAATCATTATACAGTACTTTTCAATTGAAAAAAACATCTTTGATTTATTTTGATTTGGAACTCCGTTCCTTTTCTGGCCACCGAGTGGCACTGTAGTTCAATCCTCAGCTTGACAGAAACGCTCGTGGGTTGTTTTGATATTTCGTGTAGGAGTGAAGGCCTTTGGCCAGCAGATGGCGACGCGCGACAGCCTCAGAGGTGAATGTGACACACTCTTCCTCTGCTGTTGAAATGATCAGTGCCAGCAGACTTGATCAACAGCAACTCTCCTCAGTCAAAGCAGCGTTCCTGCTACAAACACAGACTCAAATGATCCTTGAGATTTGACACCAGGATCCAATTCCAGGGCTCCCATTGCGATGCTAAACCTTAGACCGGAGGTTTTTAAACTATGAGGACCTCCGAGGGGGAGATGTTGGGGAGGCAGGTAGAGAGGTGAGGCAACAATACCGCATGAGGTGAAAGAGACGAGTGCGTGCCACATTTCTAAAGACAATGGGCAGTTAGCTGTTGTGGTTTTGTTCGCTCACCAACACAATTAACGGAGGCAGTGATGGCGCTCACATCCAATCACAGCAGTTTGCATCAAAAAGTGTGCTTCCTCTCATGAGTTATTACTCTGAACATGAAGCCATGACACACATCTTTCTAGATTTAATGTCACTTACACTGGATGTCGTGGAATCTCTTCTTTTTTTAATAACGTCAAACCTTTCTGACATTTCACTGGGGTAAACAGTAAGTGACTGTATTTGTGTAAAAAAAAAAAAAGAGAGAGTAGCTGGTCCACCTTAATGGTCAGTCCACCTTAAGTGAGCCTGGGATGAAGTTGCCGCTAACCCCCTCCACTTAAATCAGCAGGTGGAAAGCACAGAAAACAGACCATCGAGTATTGGGAACGTTTCAATTCAGGATTGCAGTGGCAACTGATTGTTAGGAGGGCTTGATGATAACTAATTTGGCATATATACAACTGCAGTGGCACAGTCTTCTCAATTTGGTGTATGTATAGCATGAAGCAGCACCTGAACAGTTTAAACCCTAACTCCTGATAAGAGTGCAACCCGTAAAAAAAAGACCTGCTGCTTTGTCTTTTTCTGTCCCAGCGTTCGCTTTTGGAGACAAAGTGTAACCTGCTTTCAGACACCAGAGTCCTGTGGTTGATCTGTGAGGAAATGGTTCTACTGTGCGCTGCTTTGCTGTTGAAATCTCTGCGCTAGGTGATGAAAGTTTCAACCATACTGGCCAAACTTCTTAATTTACTTGACGGCCATGTAGGGATTGTTTTCCTGGAGTCTTCTTCTCCTCGACGTTTTTGTCCTCATAAACAATTGAGAGTAGCGATAGAGAGATCACTGAGCAGAACCAAAGGGAGATGCAAATGGATTTCCAAGGACGTTGAACCTGCAATGAATTTCTACCTACGTTCACTAGAGGAGCAACTGAGATGTCGACTGTTGGGACAGCGAGGCGAAGGAAGCTCTGAGAAATCAGGAGCACAAAGCAAAGGAGACTCTGAAGAGAGCCAAGGCTTTCCATCAAGCCCAGATGACCGAGCAGAGAGCAGAGACGAAGGCTAGAATGTATGATCTATCAGATGTCAACAGTAAGCTCAAGGCTGCTCTTGCTAACAACAGCCCTGAAAAAGGTAGAGGATCCGTCCAAATCTGAGCGTCTCTGTTTTCAGTTGTCTATCACGGCACAACTGGAAAAAACCTGCAGGGACCTCGATCAGGCCCAGCTGAAGAACATAGCTACTCTTCGAACACTGGAGGGGGAAGCTACGCAGATGTTCAACAGAAACCAGCGGTCCCAAGCCCAGCTGGAGGAGCAGAGAGCGGAGACTAACTGGATCAAAGCAGCTCTGAAAATGACAGAAGATCTGCTCAAAACCGAGCGTCTCCTTTGGCAGCAGGAGAAGTCTTCCCTCCTTCAGGCCGATAAAGAAATCCAGCAGACTGCAGGAAAAGGAAGAGGAGCTGCAGACGACCGAGTCGTCCTTGAAGTCCCAGCTCAATGATGTTGAGAGACATGTCACCAAAAAGCAGAAGAAGAAATGGTCCAAATTCTTCTGATACCCGGCTCCCTATTTCAATGTTTGTTAAGACTTGATTCTACACTTGTGAAATCACTTGACACGTGTAGAATCAAGTGGTTCTGTCATATGCATTGAATGTGTTGTAACTCTGTTATGTGTTCATTCTGTACACATGACATCTATTGCACTTCTGTCCATCCTGGGAGAGGGATCCCTCCTCTGTTGCTCTCTCTAAGGTCTCTCCCTCTTTTCTCCCCGTTAAAGGGTTTTTTTTAGGGGAATTTTTCCTGTGTACAGATTGTAAAGAGAGATGGAAAGAGTAGAAAGAACACAAAAGTCAGTTTTAGAGTTGGAGAGAGAAAGAAAGCCAAACAAAGTCCAGCTGGAGAATAAGAACGAGGTGGAGGCCGAGAAAAGAGCGAAACAAATGACAGAAAAGTGAGATTGTGGAGTGATTCTGCTTCCGTTACACACTGTGGCCATCTCTATCAACGAGGCTGAGTGCCATTACCGGACACGTGTCATGCTCATTTCCTGGTTCATACTTGTACTTTGGGTTTCTACCAGAGCACGGTTACACTCTTTAATGTTAAAACAATAAAAGCTCTCGGCCTGTATTCGCCCTCCGTTTCAGCCTGTTTCAACAGACTTGCGTTGCTAGGTAGCAGCGAGGGTCCATGTTTACTTCCTCGTCAGCTGTTTCACATCCACTGGACCCGGAAGTAAACCGTGAACTGCTGAAGTGAAGGGTGTCCGTCCGTCCGTCCGCTGCCCGTCTTGGGGTTGACTTTCCTCCTGAGCATTCCTGCAGAGAGCCTGAGGTCTCTGGGGAGACGCTGCTCCGTCCTGACAGGCTTGGCCTCCAGCAATGACTGATGCACAATAGCAGCACACAGCACTGAGGCAAAGTCTCCAGGAGCATCACCACCACCACCATCACTGACAATCCCTCCTTTTCTATCTCTCCCTCTCTCTCTCTCTCTCCCTCTCTCGGGCTGACATGTGAGACGTTTTGCCAAGAAGCTGTCAGTCTGTCTGCTCTCTGTTCTGAATGATATGAGCGTCCGATCGCTCCATTCCGGCCCCTCTCTGGCAAAGAGTTTGGTTCTTCATGTACGTAGCCGAGTGACCGTCTGGTAGCCCTGAGCCGCATGAAGACGGTTTAATGTATTGTCTCAGGAAGCCCACACACCGTTGAACGTCTCACGGGCAAAAAGAAGCAGAAATTATTCTTGTGGCAGCTACTTCTAGCCCACCATACATCACCTGCCCAGCACCAAACAGCACACAGACAGTTTGTGACCAGCTGTCGAACATATCGGATGTTTTCGCAGCTAAAGAGAAGAGTTTTCCCTCAAGAGTGGGAGACCAAAAAACAGGTTAAAAGGCAGCGAGACGTTTGTCAGGTGGACACAAACCAGTCCTGCTCAGGGCCAGTTTTATTTCTATGCCGTGGTTTAAGCTTTTTTTATATATATATATATATATATATATATACATACATACATACATACATACATACATACATACATACATACACACACACACACACACACACACACACACACACACACACACACACACACA